TATTTTTGAACTTCTACGAGTTGAAATGAATGTTAATAAATGCTTAAATTAAAATTCCTTCCTACGACAACCAGGTCTACGTAACCAAAGAAGAATTCAGATTTATATTTGGCCAAGGACTGTCACTCTCCAAAAACTCTTGGGAATTTGTATAATGTTACAACAACAACAAAACTTATGTATGTATTTCCCATTTATCATAAGAAAGCAAACATTACGAAAAAAAAACAAGTTTTTTGAATTAAAAAAATATGGCGAATGCAATCTGAAATATACGGTACTGTTCATTCAAATTCAGAAAATGTTCACCATGATTAAAAAAAAAATAAATTAAAAATAACATATTTTTTAAAAACATTTTTTTAGTTCCATAAGTATGAGGGTACAATATTTTCTTAAGAGCTAAAAGTCCAATATTTTAGCTCTCATTTCAAAAGACCATTTCGAATTCAAAACATTATATTTCACAGCTGGTAAAAATCCGTGTTTTGCCATCTCTTAAATCCCAAATGTCAAAAACTAGAGCCAATTGAAGAATTTGAATTTCAGTTTCTGATTCCACGGAGTTCAGCGGAGAAACTCTATAAGAACAAGTGGTCACCGCCTGGTAGAATTTTTTTGGGCTGTGTAATTCTAATTATTATAAACTTCATTAAAACATACAAATTTAACAAATCTCTGCTATGTTTTCATTAAATTACCTCACATTTGTAAATGAAAAGTGCTTTCACACGCGTTTCGTAGTTTTGACAATTTGGCAATTGATACTTGGTACAATTTTTATTGGGTATACAAAATAAATGGAGAAAAACTATCCAGTACCGGGTTACCAAGTACCAGACTCGGTTGAAGATTTCTAAAATATTTTAATTTTAACTAACATACATATATGCGTATGCATACATACTCTTGAAAAGACTTTTTCACATTTCACACACCATTTCACATGACTGCTAACGTTCAAAAAACAGCGCTGCGTACTATAACTACGTGTTTTGTTATCAACAAATGTTTATTGATATAATCCTTTTTTCTTTATACTCTTTTTTCATATGTTGCATTCAAAACTTTTGTGTTGCACAAATCAATAAATGAAAATACTCGTGTAACAAAAAAAAAATAACAATGCAAAAATCACGTGAATATCGTGCAACGTTTGCCGTTCGGTCCCAATTTTATTTTCACTTTCGCCACCACACCGGTCAACCTCAAACACCTTCGAAGGATGTCTATGGCGCTATGCGCGTGCGAGCATGTCCATCGCGGGCGTTTTTCCACCATTCTGCGATTATAGAGACGGTCATTTACTGCTCGATGGTTGTTACACCAATAATGTGCCAGGTAATAAAACACAAAAATCACAACATTCATAGTTTAACATCTACTCTACGAACTCCTGCTATTCTCTCGAACTTGTAGAACTACCCAAAAAGCCAATAATCTACTTAACCATATGTTAAATAGCGTAAAAAGCGTTTGTGTGTACGTGTGTGTATGATACAGTCTGACACCCACACTAATTGCACTTTGTACAATCCAGTTGTTTGATTGATTTTTTTCTTTTGCATGACTTGATTTATTTTTTAGTTTGGTTATTTATGGATTTGAAAGGGTTTTTTCTTTGGTTTAAACTGCAAATCTAATTGTGTAATTGTAGTACATGCAGCTAGGTTATCACCCTGCACTTTCTCTTTTTTGGCCCTCTTTGCTCGTATTGGCTATTTGAATAAAGACAGCGTTAAAAAGTGAGATAATAACTACATATATTTAGTATTCAAAATAAAATTTCCCCTCTGCATATTTTTTTCTGGAAAAAATCGTTTGTGTTATTGAAAATATTTAATTGGATAAATGAAATAGATTTGCGTAGCTATGTTGTTTACAAAATGCCATAACATTTCTATGAGATCTCTTAATCACATTTCGTGTATTTTATAGCCGACGTAATGCATAATTTGGGCGCTGCACATATTATTGCTATCGATGTGGGCTCGCAAGACGATATGGATTTGACGAACTACGGCGATGATTTATCTGGTTGGTGGTTGCTGTATAAGAAATGGAACCCATTCACAACACCGGTGAAGGTGCCTGATCTGCCCGATATACAGTCTCGTTTAGCGTATGTTTCGTGTGTGCGCCAACTCGAGGTGAGTGCAGTCCAAATTTCGGCATTTTTGTTTTTTTTTTTTAATTTCGGGGATCCACAAGATGGTTTCTTTTAGCCACATAAAAAGAAAATTCTTTTAACATAAACATAGAGCCACTGCAGATCATAAGTACGGAGTTTCTAGGAACCTCGACTCTAGCGCCATCTATCGGCAGAATTTTTGTTTGAAAAAGTATTTTTCGATTTCGATGAACAAAATCAGACCATTAATACGAGCTTTCAAAATAACTCGACCCAGCGCCACCTAGCGGGTTTATTTTTCTTATTGCATAGCAAATAATAAATGAACATAAATCGAACTATAAATGTGAGTTTTCTAACTTGGTTGGTTTAAATCCGTTCATTGGATCATGAATAGATTAACGATAATCTTAAATTTTTATATGAGAATTGAAGTCCATTTTCGTTTTTTGCTTAAAAATTACTTGTTAATTAATATCGACTCCAGCGCAACCTAGCGATTCAAAGGAATAAGTATACCACTAAATTATTTTTCGTAAATGCATCATTTTAAAAAAAGTATTATTAAAATTGGTTCAGTATTTTTTAAGCCAAAGCATTACAAACATTCCCCATGTAATCAATTTTATTTAATTGCCCATTTATTTTAGGAAGTGAAAAATTCCGAATACTGCGAATATATTCGCCCGCCCATTGACAAGTACAAAACGCTCGCCTTTGGCAGCTTCGATGAAATACGTGATGTTGGTTACGTTTTTGGTAAAAACCACTTCGATGCTATGGCCAAAGCCGGACGCTTGGGACGCTTTAATCAGTGGTTTAACAAGGAGCCTTCGAAGAAAGAGAATCCTGGCACCCTAAGCGATTATACATTCATCGATTTGGCACATATCGTTTGCAAATTACCTGAAACCTATATAAGCAATGAACAATTGCACCAAGGTTATCTCTTTAGCGAAGACGAGGACTACGACGGTTACATATCGGAGCCGTCGACGTACAAGCGGGTGAATACAAAGATAATTAATTTTGTCAAAAATCCAAAATTTACAATTGCAATTCCTGCAGGTCAAAATAAAGCGCACTGGCACCTCTTTGTCGCTCTCCGAAAACGAGATGGATTCCGACATCGAAGTTGATCTGTCTTTGGCCATACGACAACATCATGCACATCGTTCGCGTAGTACACCGCATACCCCAGCCTCTGAATCGAATACAGGCGGCGATCAAGTTGATAATAATGGGCGTGCCCACCACCTAGGCGGTGGCAGCATTGTGCGTTTTGATGGTAGTGTTGTTTTCAAAGGCAATGGCGGTGGTGGCGGCGGCTCGCAAATTAGTATAAGGAGTAGTGGTAGTAGTACTGATTTCGTAACACCTTATGATGCGCTTAACATCGATGCAGTAGTGGATGAGTTACCTTTAGATCCGGTAGTTGTAAAAAAGGAGGATGAGGTAAAAAATCGACGGAATGAGGTTAATGTAACGACGACAACGCCGTTGAAAAGCGCTCAAATCTTAGTTAAAGAAGATGAACTGCGTACGCCTACGCCGAGTACTTCCAATGCCAGTATGGTTGCCTCCATGAAAAGCACTTACAGTTCAAATGCCGAGTCTGCGACCACCCTGCAAAGCGCTGATTTAAATGAAGCGGCAACTCAGCCACCAACTACATTAGAAAACACTTCAGAAGCGACGTAATGAACGATTGCGTGAATTTAGTTAAGGACTTAATTATTTAAGTAATAGAGTGTGTATGTACCATGTGACTGAGTGCAAGATATCTGTAATCGAGAGAGAGAGAGAGAGAGAG